TTGTTCAATTTTTCAGTCATATCTGACTCTTTGTGACCCTATTTGGAGTTTTCCTGGCAGAGATACTGGAGTTTGCCATTTCCTCCTCCAGCTCATTTTACAGATGAGAAACTGAGGCAAACAGGGTTAAGTGACTTGCCCAGTGTCACACAGCTAGTAAGTGTCTGAGGCCAGATTTGAACTCAGGAAGACAAATGTTACTACTCTAGCCCAGCACTATCCACGGTACCACCTAGCTGTTCAATTTCTGCTGACCTGACTCTAAATTTGCAGGCAGTGTTTCTTTGTCAAGATTTCAGAAGTGTGAGTCATGTCAGGAGTGCCTAAATGTGAGGAGGGTGTATGAATTGTATACATATTGTCAAGTCTGTGTCAGATGCAGAGAGCAAATCAGGAAAAACAGAAAAGAGTCCATCTATTCTCTAAGAGAAGAGAAGGTGAGATACTGGCTTTGACAGAAGAGTCTTGCACTAGAGTGGGCCTTCTGGGGACAGCACTCGTCACTCAAAGGAAGAAATTGGTTAGGGAAGATAAGAAGAGCTTGTGCCCACTGAGACTGTCAGTTCCTTATCAAAGGCAAGCACGGGAACCTACGTTCCTAATTTCCATCACAGAAATGAGCATTGTGCCTGTCTTTCAGAAAGTGAGCAGCAAGCACGCATTGATTTAATTTGCTTTTAGGAACAGTCTAACTGGAGAGGTTAGACAGTGAAGACAGTTCTTTGCAGTTCAACAAGGTGTGTCCAGTCAGTCTGTCAGTCAGCCAACCAGCACTTGTATTATATGCCAGGCACTGTTCTGTGGGCTGAGGATATAAAAAAAAAACAAACAAATAAAACAAAAGGAAAAAAGACTGTCCCTGCCCTCAAGCATCTCACATTCTAACAAGGGAGACGCCATACAAATAACTACGTACGTAGAAAATATACACAGAGAGCTGTTGCTCCATCATGTCTGACTCTTCATGACTCCATGTAGGGTTTTCTTGGCAGAGATACTGGAGTAGTTTGCCATTTCCTTCTCCAGCTCATTTTACAGATGAGGAGACTGAGGCAAACAAGGTTAAGTGACTTGCCCAAAGGCCCACAGCTAGTAAGTGTCTGAGGCCAGATTTAAACTCAGAAAGTTGAGTCTTCCTGACTCTAGCATGGCACTCTATCTGCTGCCTGGCACCTAGCTGCCTTTATATTCAATGCAGATGCAAGGTTATATGAGAAGGGAAGATACTAGCAGCATGGAGGTAGGGAAAGGACTCCTGATAAGGGTTATATTTGAGCTAATACTTGAAAGGAAGCCAGAGCAAAGATGAGGATGGCAAAGCTTTCCAGTTACAGAGACAGCCAGCACCAAGGCTTGTAGAGGGTCTTGCATGAGAATTAGCAAGAATGTCAGTGTCACTGGATACTAAAGTGAGTAGAGGGGAGTAAAATGTTTTTTGGTTTGTTTTTTTTTGGGGGGTGCTAGGCAATAGGGTTAAGTGACTTGCCCAGGGTCACACGGCTAGTAGGTGTCAAGTGTCTGAGGCCACATTTGAACTCAGGTACTCCTGACTTCAGGGCTGGTGCTCTATTTACTGCACCACCTAGCTGCTCCAAGGGGAGTAAACCGTAAGAAGACTAGAAAGGTAGGGACTGACCAGGTAATGAAGAGCTTTAAATACCACATAGAGGGGTTTATATTTGGCCCTTGTGATAATAGTGTGATGATGGAGTTCACTGAGGTGTGAGGGAATGGGGGTGGCATGATCAGGCTTGTGATTTAGGGAAATCTCTTTGGTGGAGTAAATAGGGTAAGACCTGGGGAGAGATCAATTGCTAGGTATCACAATGGTCCAAGGTAGAGGTGATGAGGCCCTGGACCAGGGTGGAGACTGTGTAACTGGAGAGAATGGGTTATGGATGATACATTTGTCTCTTATTCATATGACAGGGCCCTCAAAAAATGAGTAACTTAAAATTGGAAAGGGCTCCTGAGCCTTGTAATGATCAAGAGGAGAAAAAAGAAAGGGTTTCTCCATATCATGTTTTAGGTTAAGTTTTATTAAAGCCACATGTATTAATACTTTAAGCAACTGCAAGAAGGATTTTTGACTGGCATAGAGTTCTTATAATTTCCCCAAATCTCTGGTAACAGAGGAAGTCTGGATTTGTTCTTTTTTTAAATACCTTTACAAGAGGATTCTTGAGAATATGAAGTGGTTATCTCCGTAACTTGGCTTTTGAGCATGCCTAGTTTGCCAAATGTGGAGCTGTTTGTGTTCCCTACCACAGGGGTGTGGGTAGCCTTCTTGCCTAGATGTCTGCATCTTTATAAGTAGTGGGCTCAAGGTGTTTGATTTTCCATCATCCTTTCCCTGTGTTCCTAGCTGCTATGTCCACTGGGCTCCAAGGAACAAGCCTGGGGTGTTTGAGCTTTGATGACCTTGGAGCCTGGAGCCAGGGTCACAGGCAGGGGTGGCACAGCAGAGAGCCAGGCTAGCAAGGAAGCCCTGAGAAACCAGGGTGCCTGGGACTCAATCCCAAGGAGGGGTTTGAACATGGACCCGGGACTGTGTTCTAAGGGAACTGAGCTAAGCTGTGAACCTAATCCCCTTCCTCTCCCTACAGACCCAGGTGGTGCAGGGAGTAGGAGGATTAAGCCTCCCATATGTTGGGGAGAGTAAGTTTGTGTAATTGTAATGGTACCTTTTGAAGTGACTATTCCTCTTTGTACAAACTCCACTGCTTTATATTCTACTACACATCCCACTAAAAGTTGTAAATGGGAACAAAGTGCCAAGTAAAAAACAATTCATGGTTCCATTTTTAGTGTTAAACCATGACAAGTCAGTAACATATTGCCTCCCAGATTCGAGGAGGAGGAATAAGAAGAGAGAAAGAAGTTGCAAATCATAGAGACCTAAAGAATTGTAAATTATTAAACAGTAGGCCTTCATAACTATAAAATTACTAGAATATTTTAGTGTGTTCTAGTATGTTACCACATAGGCAATTAATCTTGATTTTCTAATTTATAGCTTAAGTTACTGGCCTAGTTATTTTGGTCATACCATTAAGATCTTTTCATTCTACTTTACCTATAGCTAAAGATGACTCTGAAAGAGAGGGTGAGGCTGATGACTTTGCACAACTCTGCCTCACTTAAATCTACTTCTCGCACAAGCCAAGACATTACCCTGTGATGTCCTTGGTCCTCTTTGAAATCGAAAAATGAACAACAGCCGCTGGTGTGAGTTTTACCACTGTGTTTCTTCAGTAGGACAAACTTGCTTCCCATTTGTGAATCGTCTTGATATCCCTGACGGGTGAGTGACCAGCCAGCCTTTATTTGCACATTCCCAGGGATTGGGAGCTCACTACTAGACGACTTCTCCCTCAGTAACACACTCTCATTAGTGTTCATTAAAGACACTATGCTCTTCCCTTAGAGATGGTAGCTCTTCCCTGGAAGATTTTTATTCCGTAATTTTATTTTCAGTTATTTTTCATAGTCCTAAAGAGCCCACCCTCCTGAGATGGGAAGCTTTGTTAATATTCCTAAGGGTTGCTTCTACCTAAGCCATCTTCTCTTCCCCTCCCCTCCCCCATCTCCAAGCCTTTCAGTGGCTCCTAATTGCCTAAAGGATAAAATACAAACAACTCAGCTTGATTTTTAAGACCCTCTGCAACTGGTCTCCAACCCACACTCCAACATTATTTCCCATTATTATCCTTAATTCCTCTGCTCTTCCAGGCTTGCAAACTACTTTCACTTGTTCAGGAGTTGCATCCAACAGTTATTTCGGTGTCCTGGGCTATAACGGGTCCAGATTGAGTAGCCAGAAGATAGGATTGCTCAGTGAGTAGGGTATTGGCTTTGGAGTCAGATTTCCTAGGTAGTGACAGTTCAGAATGGAATTCTTGCTTTTGACTATAGTCTAGTTGTCTTTCAAGTAACCCCCAAGGCTTCTCTCCCCTTGTAGACTTCCTTCCCCCTATAACTCCCTCTAGCCATTCTTTGCTACTACAACAACCTCTGTCTCTCCTTTGAGGTATCCAGTTCCGAGCAGGGGATTTGCTTCTTCCAAGTATGTGAGATTTCCCCCAAAAGATTAAACTCTGGACAGATTAAGCTGTGGTTTTTTAAAAGACACATTTATTCAGCATCATGATCAAAGTATTACATTTAGCAATGAACAGCATGGATGAAAAAAACTACATTAAAACCTTGTGCTGCATGCTTTATACTTTCCACAGAATGGAAACTAAAGTACCCTGTTATACAATTCGTCACAAACACAGTCCTGGTAGGGTTTTTTCCCCCATAAACAGAAAGTATTGTTTAAAGCCTGTGTCTTATAGCAGCTTGGCCCCACCATCTCTGTGCTTAGCTGAGTTCACAAACCTGTTGCAACCCATAGCTTCCCTATGACTTCTTGGCACTAGATTACACAGTGGGATAGAGGGCTGGGCCTGGCATCAGGAAGACCTGAGTTCAAATCCAGCCTTAGACACTCCCTAGCTATGTGATCCTGGGCAAATTACTTAGCCTCTTTTTGCCTTAGTTTCCTCATCTGTAACTTTCTGTAACAACTTTCCAGAGTTGTTGTGAAGATCAAATGAGATAATAATTTAAAGTATTTAGCATAGTCCCAGGCACTTAGCAAGTACTATAAAAATGTTAGCTATTATTATTATTTAGGGCAGTTAGGTGGCACCATAGTGCACAGAGTGCTTGGCCTGGAGTTAGGAAGACTCATCTTCCTGAGTTCAAATCCAGCCCCAGACACTTATTAGCTGTGTGACCCTGGGAAAGTCACTTAACTTTGTTTGCCTCAGTTTTTTCATCCATTAAAATAAGCTGGAGAAGGAAATGGCAAACCACTCCAGTATCTTTTTAAGAAAACTCCAAATAGGGTCATGGAGAGTTGGACACAATTGAAAATGCCACAACAGCAACTATCATTATTATTATTACTTCTTGGATCCTTCTCTCCTGCTACATTTTATTCCTAAAAGGAATTAAAATTTTCTGCTACTACCATAACTAATGGTACTGATGGAATCGCCATAGCCACCTTGGTTACATAATTTGGCAAAATACTGCCTTTCACCATAAGGTCCAGAACTTCTGCCTCCAAAATTTCTTCCCTTCTTGAAATAAAAGTTTGAAAATCTTGTTGTAATTGCCAAAATCATTCCACCATGCCCAAAGTCACTTCCATCATTGCCAAATCCATTGTAGCTATCTGCATTTTCACAATATCCTCCACTACCCCAACTGCCACCCAAACCACCACAACCACTGAGGTTTCTACCATAGCCAAAGTTATCATTTCCACCAAAGCCACCTCCCTGGCCACTGCTAACATGTCCAGAGCCACTTTGACCTCTTTGACTAGAGGAAGCACTGGCCATTTCTTGCTTAACAAGGCCTTTTGTATTTCACAATTGCGACCATTCACAGTGTGGTATTTTTGAATGACAATCTTATCCACAGAGTCATAGTCATCAAAAGTCACAGAAGTAAAGACCCTCTTCTTGACACTGCATTGGTCAGTTGTGATTTCAATCACTTCAATTTTTCTATAGCGATAGGGGCAGCTAGGTGGCGCAGTGGATAGAGCACCGCCCCGAAGTCAGTAGGACCTGAATTCAAATGCAGCCTCAGACTTGACATTTACTAGCTATGTGATCCTGGGCAAGTCACTTAACCCCAATTGCCAAAAAAAAAAAATTTCTATAGTGTTCAAAGCAGCTTCTTATGTGGCATTCAATAATACCACCCACAAAGATCTTTGATAGGGTAGTGCTGGCAATACGGTATATTTGTGTCAATTCCTTTTTTGATTTTATATGTTGGGCTTTAATCAGAGTCATTTAATGTAAACGTTTTTTTCTACTCCCTATTTCTTCTGATCTTAGCTAAATTTATTTATGCAAGAGCTTTTAAATTTTGTATAATGGTTGGCAAGTCTGTTTTGTATTTTATCCTTTATCTGGTTACACAAATGAATTTCCTTGCAAGACTTCACTCCAAATGTAACAAAAGACCTGGGATGGGATGCGTGGATACATTGAGTAATTAATTCCCAATTGTATACAGAGAACAGTATATCAAATGGGTTGCCTGTGGTAAAACATGTTCAGTTGTTAACCGTATTCAAATGGATTAGATATTACACAAACGTTACTCTCCACTAAGATGACTGATTGCAATGAAATCCTATTCCTTAAATTTAAACAGAAGAGGTTTCTGACTTAAACCTCACAAATGAACAGATTCCCTATCTTTGTTTCACAAGCCTTTTTATTTAATCTTTGTCCAATTATTCCCATATCATTCTGAAAGAATGAGATACTTCATGGACTTACTCTTATATATGAGTGGGCAGATGACAAGCCCAAGCACTAATCTGCTTAGTTGTTTTGGATATTATATGACTACACACACAGAGTGAAAACAATAATATCTTACATAATTGCAATGTGCTTATGTTTTCTACTGACCACTTGCCCTGATTACAGAAATTTGTTATAGATGAGAAAAGTAGGAAAATGATTATTGCAGCATCAAAACTGGTCCTCTAGGCCTAAGTCTAAGGGCACAGAATGATTCAGCTCACGTATACCAGGATAAAGTATCCTTAGCTTTGTTTGATTTCAGGTAAGAGTCACAGTTGACAACCAATCATGCAGCACCAATTCTGGTATTCAGGGAGGACTAGTACCTATGGAATGAGGGCTTGCTGGCATGAGCCCTTTTTAAGGGCTCATCCACCTTTGATGTCCAGTTATCACCCAACTGTCATCTGTGGCTTCAAGAATCTCTAGCATGTGCTGTGGCCACACTCTGGCAAAACCATCTCAGTTGATGAGTTCATTCAGGCTGAGGATAACGGACAGGCCTCAGATCCATGGTAAGTTCGGGAGATGTCTACATCAAGCACGTGAGAACTTCCCCCAGTGGAATGGGTGGATGAGAATGAGCTGTTCCAACAGCCAGGAAGGCAGCTGAAGCAGGGGCTGTGTAGCACTTAGAGCTTGGTATGTATGCCGAACCATCACCAGTTGTCTTGACTTTTATCTTGCTACTGTACTCCGATGACTCAGGAAGAGAGAGTGTGGCTGACAACTTTATGCAGCTCTGCTTCACTTAAATCCAATTCACGTGCATTTTGAGACATTACTCTCTGACGTCGTTGGTCCTCTTCAAAGGGATGAACAACAACAACAATCCCATCTCATTGCCAGACTCAGGATTAATCAAGTAGGAAACATTCCTGTTCAAAAGAAAGTAACACAATGAAGAAACCGAGTCAAGAGGATTCTACCTTCAGCCATGCCAAAGTCACTCCCTCAATCTTTCCCCCCCCACATACAGACAGCCACCTATCACAGTTTAGGATCACACTCCTTATAAGTATGTGGTGGCATCTCTCTTGAAATGGTGGATTACTGACTTAATGATCCATCAGACAACTACACCTGAATTCAAAACTTAAAACACTATCAATTATAGTCTCAAGAGATTTTACTTCAAATAACAAGTTTCACTAACCACAGCTTAGAGCTAGGTGCAATTATTATCACTCTCTTGGTGTTCCAATAAGCAGTAGAAATTTACCAGGACTCTCATGTTGGAAAATGCTATCCACATCCAGAGAAAGAACTATGGAGTCTGAATACAGATTGAAGCATGCTATTTGCTCTTTTTTTTCTTCTGTTTTGTTTTGTTTTTTCTTTCTTGTGGTTCCTCCCATTTATTCTAATTCTTCTTTACAACATAACTACTGTGAAAATACGTTTAATAGGAATGTATATGTAGAGCCTATATCAGATTGCACTTTGTCTTGGGGAAGGAGGAGGGGAGGGAGGGGGAGAACATTTAAAACTCAAAAGCATATGGAAGTGAATGTTGAAAACTAAAAGTGAATTCATTATTTTTTTAAAATAGAATTTATAGGTGAAAGTGGCAGAGGTCATTTAATCTTGATGTAAGGTGAAAAACTGCATAACAGCTAGAGCTATATAAAAGTAGAAGGAGTTGCCTTGGGATGTAATGAGTTTCCCCTCACTAGAGGTCTACAAGCAAAGGCTAGATGATTGCTTGTTGGTTATATTGTATGAGGGTCCTTTTTTAGGTTCAAGTTGGACTTCATGGTGGCTAAAGGCCCTTCGAAGTCCATAATTAACTTCTCATTGCATGCTGAAATATCTTGTAATTATCCTGTATAACATTATAAATTGTCTTGTTTTCCAAAAAAAAAAAATTTATCAGAACTCACACATACATAGGCATACACACACACACACAATTTCACTTAACATCCTTCATTTTTTTTTCTTTTTTCCTCAAGTTTAAACTCATCATGGTGTAGAGATCAATGACTAGAAATCACTTCTATATTAGAAATGAATTCGTAAATTCTCAGTAACCCAATTCATTATTTAGGAATTTCATAACCAAAAGAAGCTCATTCACAGGGCTGATGACCTTGCTCAACAGATGGTTTCAAGAAACCTGGCAAGTGGACTTCTGGGAGCCAAGACAATGGAATAAGCAGGAAATTGCCTGAACTCTCTCATATTCACCTCCAAACAACTATAAAATAGCACCCCAAAATGAATTCTGGAAGGGCAGAACCAGAAAAAAGATGGGGTGAAACAATCTTCTGACCTAAGAAAACTTGGGAGGTTGACAGGAAAGGTCTATCTCATTTGGGTAAAAGGGGAATGCAGTCCAGGACAAGAAGCATCCCAGAAAGCCACTGGCAGGCCCTGCCTCAGCAAGCCAGTGGGAGGTCCTGAGCCCCAGTGGATTGATTAGTCAAACACCTATATGGAAATCCCCCACTTGCCTAAGCTCAGCCCCAGGCAAATAGGCAGAGACTGGGCCTGAGTCCCACTTCAGTGTACCTCAGCACAAGGACAGACACCAGAGCCTGGACTTCCTAAATGCCTCATTGCAGCACCAGGTAAAAGGGCACATGCTAGAACTGGGACCCTTCCTGTGCCTCAGGGCACCACCAGGTAAGCAACCAGGCCCTTGAGGACTCCAGCAGTGCCAGCCACTCCCACACCCCATTCCCTCAATGTGGCACCAGGCACAAGGGTCCCCTGTGGGCCTCAAGGCAGCACCAGTGCAGCATCCGGCAAAAAGCCAGGACTAGTAGCCCCCAGCACAAGAAGCTTGGGACAGTGCCTTTTCCACCCCAAGAGCAGAGCTCAAATTTAGAAGTAAGTGAAAAGGCTGGAAAAGATGAGCAAACAACAACAACAGGATCTGACCACAGAAAGTTATTATGGAGAAAGGGAAGATCAAGACACAAACTCAGCCCCAAAAGAAAAATGAGAATTGGTCTTAAGCCCAGAAAGAACTCACGGAAAAGTTCAGAAAGGAGTTTAAAAATCAAATAAGAGAGCAAGATGAAAAATTGGGGAAAGAAATGAGAGTGATGCAAGAGAATCACGAACAAAGACTTAATAGCTTGGAAAAAGAAAACAATTCTTTAAAAAGTAGAATTGGCCAAATAGAAAAGGAGGCACAAAAGCTCACTGAAGAAAATAATTCCTTAAAAATTAGAATTAGGTAAGTGGAAGCTAATGACTCCATGAGACATCAAGAATCAATCAAACACAATTAACAGGATGAAAAAATAGAAGGAAATGTAAAATACCCCATTGGAAAAACAACTGACCTGGGAATTAGATCTAGGAGAGATAGTTTAAGAATTATTGGACTACCTGAAAGCCATGATCGAAAAAAGAGCCTGAACAACATCTTTCAAGAAATTGTCAAGATAAGTTGCCCTGATATTAGAGAATCAGCAAGCAGTATTTGTAATGGGGATAAGCTAGACGCTTACTTAATAAGGTCAGGAGTGAAGCAAGGATGCCCATTGTCACCAATGTTGTACTAGAAATGTTAGTTATAGCAATAAGGGAAGAAAAAGAAATTGAAGGAATTAGACTAGGCAATGAGAAAACAAAACCATTACTCTTTGCAGATGATATGATTGTATACTTAGAGAATATTAGAGAATGAACTAAAAAACTCCTTGAAATTATTAACGACTTAGCAAAGTTGCAGGACATAAAATAAACCCACATAAATCACTAGCATTTCTATATATTACCAACAAAGCCCAGCAGCAAAAGATATAAAAAGAAATTCCATTGAAAATAACTGTAAAAAATATAAAATACTTGCCAAGAAAAACCCAGGAACTATATGAACACAGTTATAAAATATTTTATCTAAACAGGAAAATATCACATGCTTATTAATAAGCTGAGCTAATATAATAAAAAGGACAACTCTGCCTAAATACATTTACTTATTCAATGCCATACCAATCAAACTACCAAAAATTATTTTATAGAGCTAGAAAAAAAGAACAAAATTCATCTGGAAGAACAAAAGGTCAAGAATATCAAGGGGAATAATAAAAACATGAAAAGGAAGGTGATCTAGCTGTACTATCTGGTACTTGCTAAAAAACAGAGTGGTGAATCAGGGGAATAGATCAGGTACACAAAACACAGTAGTAAATGACCATAGTAACGTAGTATTTGATAAATTCAAAGACCCTAGCCTCTGGGATAAGAACTCACTATTTGACAAAAACTTCTGGGAAAAATGGAAAACAATATGGCAGAAACTAGATATAGACCAACATCTTATACTGTATACCAAGATAAGGTCAAAATGGGTACATGATTTAGACATAAAAGGTGAGGATACCATAAGCAAATTAGAAGAGCAAGGAGTGGTCTACCTGTCAGATCTATGGAGAAGGGAAGATTTATGACAAAACAAAAGATAGAGAGCATTACTAAATATAAAGTAGATAATTTTGATGCTAAATTTAAAAGGTTTTGCACAAACAAAATCAATGTAACCAAAATTAAAAGGAAAGCAGAAATCTTGAAAACAATCTTTACAGCAAGTATCTCTGACAAAGGCCTCATTTCTCAAATATATAGAGAACTGAGTCAAATTTATAAGAATACAAGCCATTCCCCAATTGAGAAAGGATGTGAACAGGTGGTTTTCAGATGAAGAAATCAAAGCTATCTTTGATAATCATATGAAAAAATGCTCTGTATCACTTTTGATTAGAGAAATGCAAATTAAAACAACTCTGAGCTATCACACCTATCAGACTGGCTAATATAACAGAAAAGAAAAATGATAAATGTTGGAGAGGATGTGGGAAAATCAGGACACTAATGCACTGCTGGTGGAGTTATGAACTGATCCAACCATTCTGGAGAGCAATTTGGAACTGTGCTCAAAGAGCAACCAAACTGCATACCCTTTGATCTAGCAGCTAGGGCAGCTAAGTGGCACACTGTGTACAGCATAACACTCTAACCAGTGTCTCCAGCAAGTTGAAAGGTCCTTGGCCCTGTTCTGGGGCTGTGAGTTGAACTGGGGTAATTGTTCATACACCTTTGATCCCTTGGAAGATGGGAAAGATGACCATAAGGTGATACTACACATGATTTGCCTAGGGGAGAAGAACAGTGACAATGTGAATATAATGGAGATAATACCATCCCCTAATGAGGATGGCAAGGAGAGGCCACCAGTTCACATTGCCATGCTGAAGCCCTTGGTCCTGACCATGGCCAACATTTCAGGAATGGAGCTCATACCCCTCATCACTCTCCACCTTTGGGGTGGCTCAGGGCCAGTCCACATCAGCAGCTATGATCTTACTATGAATTTAGACCTGTCCTGAGAAGTAGAGGGGATGAGGAGGACACAGAAGAGGTTGAGGAGCAGAAGAAGGAGGAGGAGGAGGAAGATGGTGATGATGAAGATTCTA